TTCTCCAGTTAAGGGGTTTGCCTTCACATCCCCCCTTTCTAGCACATTTTCTAAAACTTGGTATAAATTCCCATCTGGAGTTGTTTTATGCTGCAGATGTTTAGATTTATATACCTCCAGGAATGACAGGATCTTGATAGCCTTCAGCATAGCGTCATCTTCACATTGCAGAGTTCTTTTTTCTGCCACTTAGCTTGATGGGAAAGAAAGTAGCTAGTAAGTCAAAAGACACAACCGAAAACAAAAAGAAACGTGATGGAGATGGAGAGGGAACAAAACAAAACAAAACAAAACAAAAGTCCAGCACAAAGACAATCTATGCTTTTGATGTGAGGACTAGATGTAATTCAGTGCATTCTTAGGCCAGGTGCCAGCTCTCCGCACCTGGAACAGACCCACTCTATCAACAGCTTAATATGATGTCTGCTGCCAACCTTAGGAGTACATTTGACCTACTGGACCTCTGCAGATTAGGGAGCGGTTCTGTTTTCTTGGTGTAGGTAGGCACTAGTGAGTAGGGAGAGTGAGATTACAGCTCCTCATCATTCCTTTCTTTTCTTTGTTAGTAAGCTAAATTATTACTAGGCAAAAGAACAGGATTCTCCCATGCCTGCATTCTCCTCCTCATGCAAAAGAGATTAAGCTCTTAATAAGAACTGCACAGCTTGCAGGGATATATTATACCTATATTAGACCAGCTGTCAGAAGAAGGTAGGTATGATGAAACTTGCCTACTTAAATGTATTAGATGGTCTAAAAAAGCATGTTGTCTCTTTCTAAAAGGCTTGAACTCCTTTTGTCCTCATAATGCATATTCAGTCTTGCTTTTCTTAGTTTCTTTCCTCAGTTCCCAGAGGAATTTAGACTCCAAGAGGCCATTGGACCACAATGCAACAACCCCTCTTTATGGCTGCTATTTGATGGTACAAGCTGTTTGTAATGCGCTTCTGTGTTATTTTGCTGAAGTTTCTCAAGTTCTCAGGGGGAGTTATGAATAAGACTTTAGACTGACCAGTAACGATTTAATCTGCCGGAAGTTTTTTCTTGTCACCAGTTCTCAGTAAACTTAGAGCACAGATACCTCAACTCTACTTCAGAAACCCTGTGTCCTTGCAGGTTGAAGCAAAATAGTCCCAGCTGACTGGTAGGTCTGGGAATCTGTTCACGAGTTAACACAAATTGGGCATCAGTGTCATTGCAAAGTTCTGAAACCTTTCCTGGCAGTCACGGTTTGAATTTAAAATGTCAGTCAAGTTAGAGAAAAGAATTATTGTGGAGGACTGTCCAGGAATCAACTTTTAGCATGAACGCAGCTGCCCTTTGCAGAATCGTTAAGAGAACTCTTGCAAGTAACAAAGGTGGTAAAGCGGACCAGATATCATTGTCTGCAATGACAGAACATGAGGAGCAAAACCAGTCTGGCAACAATGGTGCCCATATACCCTGGTTATCTGAGTCCCAGGCAAGGTAAAATCTGTCATGGGGAACCCAAGCAAAGCACGCTTTGTTTAGAAGCATTAAATATGCTCTAAAAGATTCGCTAGATCTATGAGACAAGTTCCAAAGTGCAAATAGGTAAAGCAGTAAAGTGAATGCTGGAGTAGAGTGGAGCTAATTTTGCTTCACCACTAACAGATTTATGCTGGTTCTCAAAAAAACCAAGTAGGAATATTTAAAAACTGTTTCAACTACTCTGATTTGCAAGGAGATTCAAGTTATCTGAGTTCCAATGCTTTTTTCTTCAATTAGGATGATGAGGGCTTTATATTACTTCTGCTTTATCAGGTCATCTCGTGGATGTTGTTAACAGAATGGTTTCACGAAGGAAACTATTACTGTGTGTAGAACGGTGAGAAAAACTGCGGGGGAGCATAACTAATGCCTGTGGTATTTGAGTGGAGCTGGGACCAACTCAGTTCTGACTAGAACCTCAGTTCCACTTAAAGGAACTGCAACTGAGGCATATGCATATTTCTGGATAAGCTGTAAGGTTAAGAGAAAAGTTTGAAGTTGGAAAACTGTAGGCTGCAGTACTGGTGCTCGTGTGGCAGATAACTGGAGATACTATCAATCTTGGCAATATTTCCTGGCCCTTCTTTATCTAGGAATGAACTGTCCTCGCATAGTTTCTCTAGGATACTAGGCATAAACAGAGCTTCTTTTCCCTCCCTTCAGCATCTGGTTCACCGTCAAATTCAGGGTTGGGGTTGTTAAGTCATTTGGAGTTTGGGTTCTTCCTCTCTCTTGAACAAAATACATTGTAAAGAATGAGAGAAAAATCTCCTGCTGCATTTCCGTTTGTACTGTATCTGTCCCTACCATGGAATATCAACATGATGAAGCATAACAGCGTCATGTCTACACGGAGCAGAATTAGCTGCTATCTGGATAATGCAGTTCCTGGTGTGAATAATTCTAAAGTTTAGGAGAGTTATCTAGTATCCTAAATAGAATCGAAATCCAGACCTACCTTATTACCAAATGCAAATCTCTCAGCGTTCAGATCAATGAAGCAATGAGTTTCTCAAGTCACACAGTAGATGGAAGCAAAAGTACACAGCACGAACAGACACATCGAGGTCCAAGTGCTGGTCAATAAAAGCAGGGAGCTTCCCCACCTGCACAGCAGGTGGAACCAAACGCCCTACGTTGCACAGGCAGAGCACATCTGTTTACACATTTTTGTACTGAGAGGGCCTGGGGCGTATTGCACAAGGCTTTAACAGCAGCCCTGGTGGCCGACAGGGTGCTGAAATCCTTTCCTAACACTGAAAATTAGAAAGTAAGTGAAATGCACTGCTTTGAGTTTTACTTAACTAAACACCCCAAGGACAGGTCCATTTAAAACGGCCTTTATTCACCGAAGCGCTCACTTGAACGGCCTGCGACGCCGGAGCACGTGGCCAGGCTCGGCTGGGCG